CATACTGAAAATCTGTCTCTGAGATGGTTTGATCTGGTCGTGTGTGCAGATATCAATGAGCTACACGATAAAGCGAAGCAAAAGCAAGTTGACGGAAGGGGTGAGCAAGTGCAGAGAGGATATGGGTTCATATGACAAGAAAATGGAAAATTTGCACTATGATGGACTGAAATTCTAGAACTTGTCTGAATTATCTAACTTATGAGTAATGTGCGCTAATGAATCATGACTTAATGAGAGAGCAGATAATTGAATCATCGTTCTTTTTTCCCCTCATTTTTTCTCTAATAAATTTCATGGTCCCTAAAATTCTGAAATGAAAGACAATCACCCAGTTTCAGGCTTTCAGCACTCGTTGTTTAGACTTTAGAGTGTCTCAATATTTTCAGTAATTCAAAGCAAACGTTGTTTAGAGTTAAGGCGCTACACGAAACGAAATGATTTTTATTACTATACCATAAATTCACTATCGAAGATGGATCCTCTGATGATTGGTAACAGAAGCGTGCGATGAAATTAGTTCAGATTTTAGATTTGTTTGAAACTGAAGAACATTACCATTTTCCTTACTGGTACCCAAACAGGGTCTCAATGTATACAACTACCCATTTATATCTAATACCCTGTGATTCCACTCCTTCAGTGGGGATCTCGTTGATCCACATTAACGCATTATCCATACACTTGTTTTGTCAAAACCCAGGGCCAGAACTATTGAATAATGTCCATCAGCCAACTGCTAAACCAATCATTCTCTTTCAATCAATCCATCAGAACCTTTGAAGGAGTGCAATTTATAAAAGGTTTTTGGACCTATGAGATCCAATCAATCTCTACAGGCGAAGGAATCAGGCCAGCTATGCTTTACCCAAGTTCTCAATATCAAAATAACAATAATATATAATAATAAGTGGGAAAACAGATTCAGATTTGGCTCTACTTCTCAATAATCTATACAACATATACGAGGAAAACCAGGCATAAAAACAGCACCCAACTCCGCATTTGTGGTTTGAGCCCAAATGGAGCACGTTGTCGATCACAGGACCACAAAACACAAAATCTCTCGTCTGACTCGTGGTTAGGCTAACGAAGCTGATGTTTGTTAGAGCTGAATCTGCCTTGAAAGTCATGAGGAAGCTTTGGGCCAAGCCGGTTCCGTTGGTCTGCATCGTGAAGTTCATCGACGTAGATCCTGCTTGCGCCCTCACAATGAAATCTCCCACACAAGAGTCGTTTGCATCTCCAAGTACAAATTCCAAGTTATAGGTCGTACCCTTATTGAGCTCTGTTGCTGTTTGTATCCCAGATGAAGCTCCCGAAACAAGCTCAACTGCAGCTTTGCCTTGTGGAACTTGGTAGTTTTTGGAGTCTTATGTATTTCACATGCCATTGATGCCTTAAAACCACCGCAGATGAAGCCGTAGAAGCACAAAGTTGCAGATGAAGCCGTTGATGCCTTTTGCCATCAGTTGCAGATGAACCACCGCAGGGAGAAAAGCACTAAACCTCTGTTGCCGGTCGCCAGAAGAAGTTTGTCTTCGCCGGTGATGCCTTTGCCTTTTGGGGTTTCAGTTGTAGATGAACCACCGCAGTGAGAGAAATACTAAACCTCTGTCGCCGGTTGCAGGAATAAGCTTGCCTTCAGCGATGATGCCTTTTGCCTTCGCCGGTTGGAGAGGATAGCAGAACTAAAGGTTTGGTTTGGGTGGAGAATAAAAAGACACAAAAAAGAAGAGAACAAAAGATTTTTTACAAAATTACTTTGAACGAGAGATGGTTAACGGCCTTAATGTTAAACGCCCGTTTACCATCCCCGACGGTGTTCAAACCCATCACGCTTTGACTGAAGCCAAACTTGAACGGACGTTGACTTGACAGAAGCTGAACTCTCCTGTGAACCTCCTCTATATATGTTTTAAAGTTAACAAAAACCTCTCATATTGTTTTGAGGAAAGGTGCAGATGCTATTTCTGTTAGCACAAATATAAAATGTTGATGTTATGCATTAATTTTCTTTAAATACCAAGGCCCTAACCAACTTTACTCAGAAATAATTACAAACCAAAAATATTTTTACCTAAAAATAATACAAAAATAGTTATTAACCATAAAATTTTAAAAGTTAATAAAAAAATTTAGCATTGAGATACAAATAAATAATACAGATTTATCTAGAGTAAAGGAAATTAGCCACTCATTAAAGTGCATCTTGAATTGTGAATGAATCATTGAATAAACTAGACATTCCTTCCCCCCCTCTCCCTCCCCCCCCCACAAAAAAAAAAAGACTTAGATGAACATCGTTTGATTAAAGCTCCTTCATCAATTTTTCTTAATAAAACCTGTGCATCGCATAAATCCTAATTGGTATGCTTTTTAAAGGCCAATATGCTCGGCTCCATTAATAACAATATGATACCGGGAAGTCCACTATTGTTTCAAAAAATATTAAAAAGATATTGAAAAATATGACAAAATATCAGTTGAATTGATACATTAATTTTTAAATCAATACAAAATAAAATTTTGTTATATCTTAAATGTAAATGCAAGGTTCAAAGTATTGATATTCGTGATAGAAAATTGTGTATTGTGCAATTCAAAGGGGCAATACACTTGGATTTTTTTTTCTTTTTTCTTTTTTTTTTTTAAGATTCAAGAATTGAACCCAGACAAAGTTATCTCTTGCAGAGTCCACGCCTTACACTAACCTCACAAGACGTTGTTCCAGCTGCACATCTGAAACATTTCCCATACTTATGTGTTGTAATTCGTGGAAAGGTATTCCCAATATATGGTGGAATGTGTTGTGGGGTGCCTTCTTTAAAGAGAAAATCCTGATTCTCTCTAGGTCGGGAGATAGCATTCAGGCCCCACAGCACATCCCAACTGTATATTGAAAACATCTCCTATTGACAACTTCGGAAGATATTCCCAATGCATGTCGAGATGTGCATGTGAGGCGCCGATGTGAACTCCTAGGAAGGATATTCCCTTTAAAAGTGCCCGCATGTCAACACTCCCAGTGTGGTTCAAAACTCCAAAGTGGCCACATCGATACTTCCAAGTTTGAATTTAACAGTAGAGAATGCTTAAGAGATGCAGAAGACACCGGTGAGACCTCATACCGGTGTTTTAAGAATGAGGTGAAAAGGATATTTCTAGAAAAACAAATTTCCAGCAACGTGTAAAATGACATGAAAAACAAACATTTTACAATTTAGTAGTAGTAGGGAAATGGCATTTCTTTCTGATTTTCCACAAGTCATTTTCCTCGAGAGTGTTGGTCCTCTGGAATCTGAATTCAAACCTGGTGATACCCATGTATTTCTTAATAAGTTTTTATTTTCCAAGTTAAACCAAATTCCAGAAGAATTAAGCATTGTCCTATTGAATATCGTTTCATAATGAAATCATTTGTTTTCCTTTGATTTTTTGCAAGTCATTTCCAGAGATTTGGCCCACTAGGCTCAGTTTGAAGGAGTACAAATACAAAATGTAGAGTGCAAAACCTTATATTTTGTATTGTTTTGTATGTATTTGTACTTTTTCAAACTGAGCTTAACTGAGCCCTAGGTACAAATCTCCAACACCTATATATTTCTCAACAATCAAGATTTTCTTTCTAACATAAGACACCAGGAAAATTAGGACTGTTTTGTTATTGAATATCACTTGCCATGAAAACATTCAGTACAACGGTGCCACCAAATAAAGCAATACAAGTCCTCTTCCAAACTTCAGGTGAAAGTGCACATGGCCAGTGGCATAAGTATCTGGAACAAGCGCAATAACTGAAGGTCCTACAATTAGCCATTAATGTCTGAAAAACTCCACAGAAAACACATCAGGCCCAAGAACTTTGTTGTCGAGGAGGTCAGTTCAACTTAACTAGGGATAAAAGTGAAGCATGCCAGTGCACAAAATCAAGGCAGATGCAGAAAGGAGCTGCCGAGCTGGGGTTTCTAAATTATGGGAATCTGGAACCTGACCTCCTAAAAGTTGGTAAATTGAGAGATACCATTGGAGTTAATATCTTCTGGAAAGCCTTGATCCATCTGGGTAGCAGAGGGAAATGCAATTGGCAGCTCAGCGGCAGAGAATGCTTTGGTGGAAAAATGAGCATTTAGTAAAGCATTGGTTAAGTAAATGATTGGAGGCAACATGTTAGCATATAATCCATCATGAGATAGCAGATTTGAAAGACTTCTGTAAGAACTATCAAACAGTATTGCATGTATTTTGGTTCGGGAATGCCCACAATTCAGGTTCAACTTGCACTAGACACAGGTCCTCTACATATAGTAAATCTACAAGTATTTACATCAACAACCGACAATGCCCACAGTATGAACTCAACTTTAACCACTGTATAAAAATCAAATTGGTGATTAAAATCCCCCAAGGACAGCAAGCATCTCAGATCAAAGGATTTCTGTCCCCAAGAGTATAAATCTCACGTAAGTTCCTGTTGAACTGCTGATTGAATGTGCACATGCATATTCACATATGCGTGTCTGGAATTCTCAACCTTAATGCCTGAGAAACAAATCCCAGTTTCTATGTATAGAAAGATTGCAATAGAAAATAATACCTGATAAATGCTAGATATAAAAGTGGTAGTCCAAAATGATCCCTGCCTGTGAATCAAACTTACAAAAAAACCACATGGTTCTACATTACAACAGAAGCATAATACCTGACTCTGTACCTGAAGTATTTGTTTGTGAATATGTATATTTACATTAAGTACAGTAAGAACATAAAAGAAATACATGTTAAATCAATTACACTAAACAGTCCGAGAATGTTCACCAAAAAAGTCTGAGAAAAAATAAATGAAAAAAAAATCTTTTGTAGTGGCAAAGCAGCCCAACCATCAATTTGTTGCATCTTTACCTGAAAACCATTTAATCTTATGAGAAAATTGTAATCCTATGAAAGGATAGAATTATAACCTTCCTTTATTCAGGAGAAATTGTATTTACAACACTGGGTAGAAGAGAAACTGAAATTTAATATTAAGGGTAATTATAAATTGTTACAAGTGTACTGCCAAACTACCCACTATGCCTTAAAATGAAGGGTAAACAACAGACCTTTTGATGCTTTATTTTCTCTGTTTCACCATTAAAATTACTTTTGTGGATGCCATTTACCTTGGCACTACCTTCTTTAAAATCTTTATTTATATGATCTAACAATGGTGGCTCTGTTTTCCCATCATGAGAGGAATTCAAAGCAACTTGTTGATTATTTACTAAAACTGAGAAACTTTTCTCTGGAGATAATGGAGCTACCCGATTATGATTTACTTTGGGAGAATCTGGTCCTAAAGGCCTGCAAATTGGAAGAGTAGACAAACAAGAGAAAATATAATCAATATTTTGTGTACTTATCATATTAAATGAAATTTAGTATATGCTTGAAGAAATTCAAACAACAAATCAGCAGTAAAATTCCACAAGTTCAGCAAGGCACACGGAAGGTAATGCAGAGGAAGAAGAAAGAAACAACCCAGTTAAATGATGCCAACTATTGAAGTCTATTGAACTCTGGGTGTTCACCAGAAAATATTAAGAAACTAATGCAATTAAAATCAGGTAGCTATGCTATCTAATTAAAGTTGCATATGGCCTAATGATCTCCCCATTGATAAACATGAAATAACATAACACCCCTCTTTTTTTTGATTGGTGTAAAATCCCTCTTAATTTATAACAAGTGCACTTCCATGCCATTGGTCAGGCAGAGGACATTTGCTGCACCCAATCCACAAAAAACAAGGATGAAGAAATTGAACATAAAAAGAGTGATTAAAAAAATGTGACAGCATCATTATGCAAACTGCCAATTACAAGACAGAAAAACTTAGTCATTCCCTTGATACCTACACATGCCTGCCTACCAGCATTGGACATGATATGCACCCAATATTACAGTGGACGGATGCATCTAGATGTACTCTAGAGCATTAAATTTGGCAAGACACAAATGTTGAAAAATGACGCTTAGCACATGGAGAGTTTCATGATTTTAGGAAATGGAAAGTCATATCTCTGTTTTTCATGTCCTTGTCCATGTAGGTAACTAGGTACCCATATATAGCATCATAGATAGAAATATAGAATTATAGATACCAAAAATCTATATGTGATATTCTTTTTCCTAGAATTTGTATTTGGATACAATTGGAGCAACTGATGTTTTTCCACAAAATATGGATTAATAAGAGCTTATTTTCTCACTTGATTAGTTTTTGCAACAATGTCTAATTGTCAATTAGCAATGGAGTAACTCTTATAAACACTTGGTACAGAACTACTACCTGAAATTCTGGACATCAGAACTGGCAGTCATTTCCTCTATGCACTTATTCATGTTATCCATTTTTGGTGCCTCAACAGAAACTACACTTGAGTTGACTCCATGTTGTGAAGAAATTACATCTGCCACTTGATCCTCTTCCAAATCTAGAAATTCTTGGGTTGGGGAGCCAGAACTGGAGCGATTTTGGTTGCTAAATCCACCACTCCGAACCATAGAAATTGCTTGATCTAATATACCAAGAGCTTGTTCCACCTCTGTACTTATAAAACCCTTCTTTTTCTTGTTGACAAGGCATTTTTCTGGAATCAAATTTGTTGGAGAAAAATCTTTGCCTCTGCTATTATCCACTACTTGTCTGTCTTGCTCAATCTCTTCAGTGATCTCATCCATAGATGTCTCGTCTATAACTAATTTATCATCTTGTGGAGTTTTCATTGTATGATCATCATTAAGAAACATCCGGTCTAAAACTTGTTCATGAGCCTGGGAAGTACTGTTGCTATGTTCTTCAGGGATGAGACATAGAGGTTTCTCATTCTTCATGGCTTCTATTTCCGGAGCCTTCTGCAATTTATTCTCAGAATATAGACCTTGACGCACCCAAATATAGAGTGGATCCTCCAAGGCTTTGGAAAATTTCTCGTCAACTTTTGCAGAAGAAACTACCTGGAACATCAACAATTTGGAAAGTATTATTACAAAAATGGCAGTCAAATGACCACATAATGATCTAACTTAACTAAATTATTAACCAGAAACCAGAGTACAATGGTTCCACCTGGAATATCCAATCCATTGGTCCCACCTGTTTGATTGGAATGTCTGAAAGCAGTCTTAATGACTCAATCAGTAAGGGGGACTATATACTAAATTAGTTTTCTGGTTATAAGATTTTCTAGCCCAAAATGGACCCTGCATCCTTTGTTTTGTTTCCTTGTTTTGTAGTGTGATAATCAATCAGATGAGATTGTTGAAGGTGCAATTCAGGTTGGCTCGAGTTAGCATTTTGCACTGTTTTGGGCTCGGGCTTCAGGCCGACCCATTCAAATTTTGACAAAAACTCAACCTAAGCCCGCCTAAATTGCACCCCTACTTTGACACGGATCGAAGATGGTATTCTTATGGAGGTTGGCATAGGAATGTTCTCTATGCAACAGTATGAACAACATGAAACAATAATCATGGAACATGGTTCTTCTTTGTGTATTTTCATAAAAGAAAAGAATATGCCAAGGTCTTGTGGATTGACCATTCAAAGAAATTTTATCCCATAAATGAAAATGCAACCTTCTTGTAGAGTTTGCAAGCACTTCCTATTAGCTGCCTTGATACAAAATTAATAAATGATGGCGGAACAAAGTCCAACTTGATATCCATGGTTGCTAATGTCCTGCAAAATTAGAAAACATCCAGATGAAAGGCATGTTCAATAAGAACCAATACAACAACTAAAAAATATATGTATACTATGGTGATACATATTGATATGTATATATGGTAAATAAGTTGTCTCTTGACATTATTTGTCCATGATTATCTCAATATCATCACGGTTCTTGAATCAAGCACAACAATAGTCCTTCAATTATGACTCTCTTCCAATCTGTAGTCCATGTCTGCTGAACCTAAATTGTTTTCAAGGTTTATGTTTAATTGTCTGCCTTTTTAGTTAGGGGTATTTTTGTCCAGAAATTTACATAACCATGGAAAATATTATCACTTACATTATAGTAAGTTTGATATATATGGTGGAAAGATAGGTCAACTAACCTTTCACTTGTGCTCAACTAACTGTAGAGAACACTGATGTGGGCCCCACAGCTGTGGTCCCACTCTGTCCGTAGGGTAGAATGTACCTAGTCATTCTAGGGTTAGCTGATGGTCAATCTGTTATTCTAGTTGTTATTTAGATTTCAGTTTTATATTGTTTTATGTGTTATGTAAATACCAAGGGCAGATGTGTCCTTTCATGTAACTAGCATAACCTATAAATATTAAATAGAAGTGGTGGCGGCAGAACATTGAGATTCTGTCCTTCCTTTCAAATCTTGTGTTCTACTGCTCTCTCTCTACTCCTTCTCCTCTTTACTCTATACTTTCTCTCCTTTTTCAAACCTGAAATTTATTAGTGCTCAAGACTGATAGCAGTCTTGAACATCTACATGGTATCACGAGATGAGGTGGGTACAGATATTTCTTGTTATTTGTTGATGACCATACCCGTTTTTCTTGGGTTTATCTCATGTGTTCACGAGATAAGGTCCCTGCCCTGAC